CTGATGGACAATTCGTCAAGCAGTGTGTCACCATTCTAGCCTAGGAAGTCACCGGCGGTGCCACTAGCTATGCCCAACATTTTTTACATTGAAAGGGGATAACCGATATTCTAAAAATTGACCAGGGAAAATTCTGGGAGAAAAAATTCAATAAGTGCTTATTATTTAAGCACTTAAAAATAGCTAGAAATTTGAGCTTAAAAATAAACCCTTTTAAAATAAGCACTTATTTCAGGCTTATTTCCCAAACACCAATAAGTGCTTAATGGTGTGGTCCCAGCCTAAATAAGCACTTATTTTTAAGCACTCCCAAACATGACCTAAGGACCACTTGAGTTATGGGCCTAGCCCATTCTAAGAGCTAGTACGACTAGTCACATGACTAGTTTAAGTTGTCATGCTAGGATGGATTACTTGGGTCAAATTGCTAATGGGCTTGAGTTTCTCTTATTACTAATGTAGTTAGGAGTGTTGCCAAATTAGAACTTATAATTTAATTAGAACTCAGATTTGGAAACTCCTAGTGACATTTTGGTTTGCCAATTCTATAAAAGATAGAGTAAGAGAGATCTAGACAAAAATTCTCATGCATTCTCTTGGCATCCATACCCTAGTTTCATCAGGCCTTTGAAGGAGATAATTCCCTCTTATTTTCTCTATGTTTTCCAGAAAAAATCACAAAGTTGGTGTGCAAATCGAATCACAAAGGATGGAAAATCAAGCTCACCATTGGGTGTGAACAACCACTTTGGGAGTTGTGATTTGTGGTCTTCATGTTAGGTGTGGACCTATTTGAATTTTCAAATCAAATTGGATCATCTGAGGCTAGATCAATCCTAGGAGAAACTGCTTTTCCACGGACAATTTTGTTTCTCCTATTCTTTGACTGTTAAAAGAATTATTTTTCACCTTAGAAACCCTAGAATGTTTTGACCTTTTTGCGTAATTTATAGTCCTTACAACAGTATGTATATCCTTAGGTGCAAAGAAATGGTTCCACAGACTATCAAAAGTTTTGATAGCATGGTGGAGAATCATTTTTAAAGAAAATAAAAAATTTCATATCAAATAATACAAAGGAAAACTGTGGAAAGAGCCTTGCTCAATCTCTTGAAAAGAAGGTTATTCATCAAAGTCCATGCACATAAACACCTGATCAGAATGATGTTACAAAAAGGAAGAACAAGCATTTGTTTGAGGTGGCTCAAAGTTTATTATTCTAGGTGCATGTTCCCACTCACTTTTGGGATGATGTGGTTCAAGCTGGTCTACTTGATTAACAGGTTACCATCTAAAGTGCTCAGTCTAAATCCTCACTTCAACTGTTTCATTGTGATGGTCCTATTTTTAGTCTTCCTTTGATAGTCTTTAAGTGTGTCTATTTTGTGCATGATCTTAGTTCCTCTTGTGTCAAATTTGACCTTAAAGCCATTAAATGTGTCTTCCTTGGTATTTCAGTAAAAAGAAAGGGTACAAATGCTACAACCCTTAATCTGGTAAGTATATAGTCTTAAGATATCACCTGTGTTGAAATAATTTAGTTGTTGGTGTTAGGGTCTGTTTGGCTAGTTAAAGTGTTTTTTATTTCTATTTTTTCAATTCTGTTATGTCTGTTATTGTACTCACTTATAACAGGGGTACAAGAGTCTTTTCCCTTCTTATTTCTGCCGTCCTATATATATTATAATAAAGCTGGCACTGCCAGCACTGTTACATTGCAAATCCCTTCTCTTCTCTTCTCCCTTCTCTCTTCTTCTCTTCTCTTCTCTTCCTCTTATTTCTGGCCGGCCATACTGTCAAGAACCTGTTTTGACCATCAACCTTTCTTTTCTTTTCCAATCTCTCTTCAAGTTGAGAGTAGTAGTAAAAAGAGAAAAAGTAGTCACTCCTATCTTCCCCTTCCTGTTCCATTTGTTCATACTCTTGGGTCTATTGATGAGCCAGGACCAAAGTTGCAAGTATATGCTAGACACAAGGTGACTCAAAAGTCAATCTTCCACAATAGTTAGATTCTGTGGATTCAAGTATTCTTGTTCCTCTTGTTTCTTTTGATCCTATTCCTCCTCTTTCTGTAGATATTCCTAGTCTTCCTTGCGGTAATGTTTTGCCTTTACATGATACTCTTTCTAATCTTGACCTTCCTATTGCTTTATTGAAGGAAAAAAGGAAATGTACTCAATCAAATTCCATGGATTCAAGTAATCTTGTTCCTCTTGATTTTATTCATCCTATTCCTCTTGTTTCTAATAGATACTCCTAGTCTTCCTTGTGATAATGTTTTTGCCTTTACATAATAATCTTACTAATCTTAAGGCTATGGTTCAAAAGATAAAGCTCTAAAAAAAAATTAAACATGGCAATTAGTTGAGCTACCCCATGGCAGAACCCAACATTGGCTATCAGTATACACTATAAAGATTAAAGCAAATGATTCCATTGAGCGACATAAGATTCATCTAGTGGCCAAAGGATATATAGAGACATGGCATTAACTACTTGGAAACTTTTGCTCTGATGACCAAGATAAACACTATCCATGTCTTGACATCCTTAACAACTCATTTCTATTGGTCATTATACCAAATGGATGTCAAAAATGCCTCCCTAAATGGTGGCCTACAAGAAGTATATATAGAATTACCTCTTAGTGTGTCAATTACTTGAAATTAAGTCAAGATTTGTAGACTTGTGAAAACATATGTTTTGAAACAACCTCCCCAGACTTGGATTAATCAATTTAGAGGAGCTCTTCATAAGGTAGGTTACAAACAGTCGCATGCTTGATCATCCTCTCTTCTTTAAGAAAGTTGGTAATGTGGTGACAATTTTGATTGTGTACAAAGATGATATTATGATAACTAGTAATGTAGGCCAACAAGGATAAGGATGGATGGGAAGTGGGGAAGGAAGATGTTGTTCTGAAGAAAACTTAGCCTTGTCTGTGATGGAAATCAAATCCCTTTCGTAGATGATGGTCTCCCTATTTATAGATGTAAGGGAGCAAGATCACATGCATGAAGCTAAAATTCTAAAATATTCCTTGATTCTCAGGACCACAAAGCTGTTATATCACGACCTTGGGCCTCCTTAGGGGTGACATGTATCAGTACAACCTCGTGCTTTCCCTGAGGCACCAATCACACATCTAACACCCTCAGCATGACTTTTTCCGTACTCTTCTATTTGATGTTCAGCTTGCCTCACAAGACATGTATGTGTATTTGCTTCTGAACACCTCACGGAGTTAGTGAAATAAGTGTGGCCTCTGCAAGGTAGAATAGTTTACTCTTGAAAGGTGAGGTTGTTATGGCCTCGCAAGGCAGCTCCAAGATTAAGGTGTTATGACTTTACGAGGAAACCTATGAGAGGATGTAATGAATTGGCAAGGCAACTCATGAAATCAGATTAATGTGGCCTCACAAGGCAACTTGCATGATTCGACTAACGCAACCTCACAAGACAATGTCATTTGTTCTAAGTCTTATCACACATACCAACAAGGTTTTACTTCTTTGCCCTTAAATGTATATTCATTGTCTTACAAGTAGTAACACGGTTAGGATTCATTGGTTGAAGCAATATTTGGTAATTGAGTTTGAGATCTACCGCATCGAGCTTAGATATTTTCTGGGAATTAAAGTTGTAAGACCTAAGAGGGATATATTCATTTAACAAAGGAAGTACATTCTTGATTTCTTGAAAGAGAGAGCCAAGCCAAGTGTTAAACCTACTAGTACTCCCATACATCCAAACCATACAATTTGTGAGTTGTAAAGTGTGCAAAATAAGGGAGTGTATCAATGATTGGTGGGAAAGTTTCAACATCTCTACTTAGCTCGACCAGACATCTCTCATCTTGTTAGTGTAATCAGTCAATATAAGCACCAGCCTCAACTTCCTAATCTTGCTACAGTTGAAAGAATACTATGCTACTTGAAGGGTACTCCAAGTGGAGGATTGTCATATGCCCCTAATGGTCATTTGAAAGCGGAAGCCTATATTGATGCTAATTGGGCTAGGTTAGTGTAGATGGTAGAATGTCCACTTTTGTTCTAGGAAACACTGTCTCCTAGAGGTGCAATAAACAATTAGTAGTAACAAGCTCAAATACCAACACTAAGAATAGAGCAATGGATCATGGAGTTTGTGAGTTGTTATGGCTAAAGACTCTCATTATAGATCTAGGAGTCGTCTTTGATCATCTTATGAAGATGGTAATGGCAACCAAGCTGCTATTAATATTGCAAACGATCTTGTTCAATATTACTATACGAAGCACATAAAAGTTGGCAAGCATTTTGTACGTGAAAGAATAGCAAATGGAGATTTTTTTAGAGCATCCTATGAAGATGTTTGTCTACCTTTTTCTGAAATCAAGGAACTGGCTGGTTGATTTGTTAGACCAAGGGATTGTCACAATCTAAGTTGGAAAAGAATCTGTCTAAGATAGGCATGCATAATATTTATACTAACTTGGTGGGGAGTGACAAATGGTGCTTATCCAAGGGATTTCTCTCTAGTGTTAAATCTTTTATAGTTTTACTATGGAGGATTAAATTGTAACTTTCTTGCATTAGTATAAATACTAAAAGAAGGGTTATGCCCTACACTTTTTGGCCCTTTTTCAAATATATTCTCTTTCTTTGTCAAGCATCTATAGCTCAAGTTTAATTAACATTTATATAGTATCTATTAGTAAACTAGGTTGAATTTTGTGTATTTACATAAACTGTTACAGGTTAAAGTTTAATCCAAGTTATTTTCTTCTTTTTTTTAAGGCGAAATAAGACCTATTACTTTGGAGTGGGAGAAGCCCTGAAGCTATTGAAAATATAATCACTGTATAATCAACTGTATATGCTTTGATATACACAGTAGACATAAAAAAAGGCTATGCATCGCCAAATGTATATGCTTTAACATACACTTGATTATGGTAAAAATCAACTAAATATTATTTTGCGTGCTAAAATAAATAAAGATCATGTATTAGTTCTTACCATCTTCTTCATCAGTATATGAAAAACATCACCATGAGACCACAGTCTGCTGCGTCTTCCAGGATCTTTAGGGCATTCTTCACGAACAATTTCTCTCCCCATGTCTCGAAGTAGGTCATGCATTCTAATCTTGTTATATTCATCAATTGTTATAAGTGACCTACGAACAAGAGTATTGATTCCATTTTCTGAACAGAAACCACAACCATCTAGTATTTTAATTATATAATCTTTGTCCTCTCTAATGAAGAAGCAAGCAATATCAAGAAAAATATCCTTTTCTGCATCACCACCTAATGCATCATAACTTATTCTAAGCTTTCTTTGAATTTGATTGGGAGGAATTATTTTGAGTTTTTCTAGTGCACTTCTCCATTCAGACACACTTCTACCTGATAGAAAAGAACCTAAGACCTCAAGAGCTAATGGAAGCCCTCTAACATGATCCACTATACCATTTGACAGCTCTACATAATCTTCTTTAGGGTGGTCTTTACCAAAAGCATGCCAACTAAATAGCTGAATGGATTCATCATTATCCAACTCTTTAACTGTATATATTTCACTCACTTGAAGATCACATAACAGGTCTTTATCTCTAGTTGTCACAATAATTCTGCTTCCCAAACCAAACCAATCACACTCTCCAGCTAATGCTTCTAATTGTTTCAAGTGATCTACATCATCAAGAACAACAAGAACCCTTTTGCTTTTGAGTCTTCTCTTGATCATATTTACTCCAATGTCAATACTGCTTATTTTTAAGTTTTCTTTCACTAGAATGTCAGCAAGGAGTTTTTCTTGTAGCTGAAGCAAACCACTAGGTTCTTCTGAAACTTCTCTAACATATGCAAGAAAGCTGCTACCTTCAAATCTGCGAAAGATAAGGTTGTAGACAGCCTTGGCAAGGGTTGTCTTACCTATTCCACCAATACCATAGATTCCTATGATGCGAAAATCATTTGAATCCATATGTAGCAATGAAATCACACTTTCTACACGGGATTCTATTCCAACTGGGTAAATAGCAACTTTCAGGTGTGTTTGCTTTAATTTAGTTGAGACCTCGCTGACAATTCCTTGAATAAATTTTGAAGCATGCCTGCCAATAATGATTCAAAAAAAAAGCAAAATAAACATGTAGTGAATTGATATAAACCATAATGACAATAGGAAACATAATATTAAGCATCTTTGGGGATATTTGGTTTTGGTGATTTCTGCTCAATGTTTAGAATATAAACAGAATATAAAAAATCATACATGATAGTAACATTTTTTAGATTTAAAACAACTTACAAGTATAGAAAGAAGTTATTAAAGACCAGCATACATGCCAATGGTGATGCAGTTGCAAAAGCAAGGAAAGAATTAATGAGAAGACAAACCAATTTTCCAATTCCTATGCCAATTTCAGAATTTCTGGGTTATACGATATTGGTACTGTTTCAATTTTTTTCTAGTTGTTGGCATCTTAATAACACGGTTCTGCTTTTAGATATTTATTTAAAATTACTATTTATGATAACTCGTGGATTTACTATTTTTAGTAAACTCACGGATTACTATTTTAGTAATTTCTGGTGTCTTTCAATTAAGTTAGTCTTAGTAGGATTAGGAAAATGTTATCAGAATTGTTTTAGTAATTAGAGTTCTCATTGTAATGTCTTTATGGGTCATCTATTGATTTGTCTTAGTTCTAATCAATTAGAAGTCGTTTTGGGTCAGTTTCCTAGTCCAAAAATCCGAGTTAGTAAGTTGAGTCTATAAATAGTCATTGTAATTGAAGTTCAATGAGAGTTTATTTGAAGAAATAAAGATTCTTTTAGTGAATTCTTGTTTTTTCCAGAATCTTTTCTTTTTTTTCCCCTTCTATCTCACCCGTTTCATCTTCTAAGTGACCTATCTCTTTGCAGTCTACCCTAACAGCAATCATTCTTGTTCTTCATTCATATTCATCTTTAATCACCTACAGCCCTCAATCATCGCAACAAAATCCAACCCCAGGTCCTAATTTAATAGGACCCCTGACCATCCCACATCAAAAGGACTATGTCAAGATCACCCAACTTTCAGCTCATCAGATCTGTTTCTTTGATGCTAGAACAGCTAGCCGCAGAGAAGAAAGTAAGAAGAAAAATCAACAAAGGGAGAGGGAGAGAAATAAGAAGAGAGGAGAAGAAAAGAGGAGGGAAGAAGATGACAGAGAAGGGAGAACCGTGAAATTCTGTTAAGGGGGCTCTCTGACCCAAGATCTCCCATTCAACAACTTTAATAGTTTGTTATACATTCAGAGAGCTAAGGCTCACGTTAAAGGATCCAGGTGGGTCTCAAACAACTGACTTACATGGCCTTCTTACATATACATGACAAATACATTTGATAGGATGCCCATTTGTGGTTGGTGGACTTCCACTATGGACCTGATCAGCTATTGTAAGGTTTGTGGGTCCTATCTTGCCTCTGCAAGCTCCCTGAACTGGGTCGGCTATTGTCTATGGCTACCGGTAGTCTAACAATGCCCTGCTGTTCAGGTTGATGTTGGGAAACTCCTGTAAGAGGTTATTATAGGGTTCCCACACGGCGCCTTCCACTGATAGATGTCACCAATGAACTAAGGCCTCCTTAATTCCTCACCAACCTGAGCGAACCCAGCAAAATTCAGTGATTTTGGAGGGCTCTGTCTAAAGCTGGCCATCAAGAGAGAAAGATGGCAATTTGGAACTACTGAACGAGAGTTTATAGCTGGCCATCAGTGTAATCCACTCAGACTGTGACAGGTTTAAGGCTCTATAATCCACTCAAAAACACTAAGAGTCATCTTTATTCTTTACTAACAAGACTAGGGAAGAAAATGAGCTGGTACTTGGCTGGATTAATCCTTTGTCCAAGAGTTTAGGGACTAATTTATCAATTGCTTCTAATAATATGGGTATCTATAGGGTTTGACATTGGTCAGAGCAAACCAGGGTAGCAATGGTATTCGGTGGTCATGAACCCATGTACAGGACAGTTCAGTTGGTTCCTGAAACACCATGGAACACTCTTGTAACAAAGCCTAAAGATAGGCCTTCTGCTCTCGGGCTCTTAATTGGACCTACCCCAAAGTTCGGGTTGGACTGACCTGATTAGAAGACAGAGGTACCACGGCTGTGACCCCTTTTTCATGGCTAATTCTCATGAGGGAAGCCTGGCTAACTGATCTAATTTTTTCAGGTCCATGGTGAGGCAGGCCTCTTTATCTAAGGTGATCCCAGCCCATAACCCGTTATGACAAAGCTCCCGTCATTGGAGAATTTCAATATTCGAAGATCGTGGTACAAAATGCTTGTATATTCCTAATAAGAAACAGCTAGCCAAAACCCAAAATTTTCACAATTAATCAACCTTCAAGCTTCGCATTCAAAGAAAAAAGAAAATAATTATTACATAAATCAAACAATATATTGAAATTTTTTTGAAGCTGTTTCGACCGGTGCTACAGTAATCCGAACCAGAAAGAAAAGAAGAAGAGAGAAGAGAGAAGAAGGGTCTGTCGAAATCTGATGGGTGCAGAATAACTCTAATAATACTATCACATAAGCAAGCTACTTAATAAATAAGACTAAACTACCCCTATTTCGCACACTTTAACAAAGCCAACACATTGACGTAGAGAATGAATTATATCATGACAGTGAGAGTTATTGGGAAAATTCAATATAAATCCAATTTTATATATTTCATGAACTGCGATTGACCTAAAAATTTCTCCCAGGCCTCAGTTGATATTCCCAAAAGTAAATAAGAAGCAAAAGGTAAGTTTGATGAGGGTTACCCAGTAGCAACTTTTCTTAAATCCCACCCTGACAAGTTTGCTGCTTCAGTAAGAGCCTCCCTCCACCTTTGTACCTTTTCTATCATCCCTAAAGCCCTGAAATGCTCTTCGTGAGTCATAAACGCTTGCGAGAAACTCCCTGTCTGTTTCCTGACATTCGATGGGTCGACGTCATAGAAGATGGGAAGAACCCATTGACCGACCTTTCTTCTGCATTCCAAGATTTTCACAAGTTCATCAAGGCACCATCTTGAAGTAGCATAGTTCTTAGAGAAAACAATGATTGCAATCCTTGACTTTTCTATTGCTTCCAGTATTGCTGGAGCAACTTCTTCGGTTCTCCCAAGCTCGATATTGCACCTAAAAGTGTGAATTCCTATTTGGACCAAAGCTGTATAAAGGTGACTGGTGAAATTCGTGTAGGTATCTTCACCTTTGAAACTTAGGAAGACGTCGTGATTCCACTGAAGGTTCGAAGCCGAGGATGGCGAAGCTTTACTAGCCATCTTTGAAGAAACCACTGAAGATTGATCCAAAACAGCCACCGAAACAACGAATTAACGTGTGACTGAGAGAGGAAATTAGTTGCAGTGTTCTGGCGGCAAATGATGAAATGAGATAGACAAATAGTGGGTACTGTGTACAATTCGCGTCTTGTGTAAGCAACGAAGGTGAAAAAGTGAAGATTCTTCTCCAATCTCCACTCCACGTCCGTCCAAATATCCGCTACGCGCACTTGCGAGTAAGTTAAACTTTGGGATATTGTCCAAACTTTTTTCTTTTGTCCTAAATTCATCCTGAGTTTTCGAGCCCTGTGGATGAATTTTTATTAGTTGAAAATCACTTATCAGAGTGATCCTAAATAAAAGTTGTCCATTTAAGCATTTATATCACCAAAATGGTGAACGAATTTCTGACAACTCTATTGATGGCGAGGCCGGATCTCTTATACTTGGGTTCGGCTTCTTTCAGGGCCCGGTGTATATGGGCACTGTTCGCGCAAAATGAAGACTCGCCAGTTGCCACGCACCTTTTCTCTGGTGTAATCATTTAAAACGTGCGAAAATAATAAACGGCGCTGAATAGTAGATGCCGTTAGAATCTTTCTCAAAAACTCAGGTATTGGTCATGGGAAACCATACAAGGAAATCATGAATGAAATGCAACACCGATTACCGGAGTAAAACTCAGGTATTCTTAACACTGGTTTGCTGCACAGTAAGATGAAGTTACATTTTAGGTTTTGGGGAAAACAAAAGTTGAGAATGAAATGCAATATCTAAATGTTTTGGGAAGAAAAATTGAAAAAAAAAATCAATACCTGAATTTTTCTTTGGTCGCCGGTGATAGTTGTTGGCCGCCCCCGGTTGGAGAGGAAGAGAATGGGAGGGAACAAGGTTCACCGCCGTTTATTGGCTTCACACACTTGAAGCAGTTACACGAGAGAAATGACGCATGGTGCATCTTTCTTTTGTGGCCGAACTCCCTACACTTGTCGATTTTACATCTAAGCCCAATAAGGGGCACCCCATAATGTCCCATAACACATCCCAACCGTGTATTACGAACATCTTCCAATGATAATATCAGAGCAATACCAATCATACAATGACACATCAACATTGCATGCTTTTACACCCATTCATGCTTCCTAGTTTTTTCAAAACACCTAACCCATAAATGTATAAAAGTTCCATAATGCTCAGTTTGGTAACCAAGCCTAAAGAACATCTTCACCTCTCTGTTTTCAATCCATTGTCTTCTATCTAAAGGTTTTGTAAAAGTATTGCAGGATCAAAGCGAGAATGTAGGGTTGATAAAAGAAACAAAACAATATATGTTCAATTAATTTCTTATTACCTCTTTGATAAAAAACTGGACTACAATCCAGTTACAATATTTCCTCATGAAATGTCCAAAGAAGGAAAGAAATAAAAATGAGAAAAATAAAAGATACAAAATAATGAAGTTCCACGTTCAGTGGAATCACGAATCAATGCCACCCCCACTTAATAAATGTAAAATTTATTTCGGCTCCCCCGCCATGTCATCAAAATTAAAGTTTCTTACCTATCATACCCCTCAACCCAATGGTAACTTTCAGTCTTCTTCCTCATTCGAACCGAATGCAGCAGCATCTCCACCTTTCAGAGGCGAAAGCTAAAGAATTTTTCCATTGTCTTCTTGCTCACCCCATTTCTCAGAGGCGAAACATCTTCGATCGTCTTCTCATTCAAACCAAATCACCAGCATCTTCTTCTTCCTCGAATCTACCAATGGTAACTTTCAGTCTTCTTCCTCATTTGAACTGAATGCAGCAGCGTCTTCTTCTTCGTCAAAACTACCATTGGTAACTTTCAATCTTCCTCCACATTCGAACCAAACGTAGCAATTTCAATCTTCCTCCTCATTCGAACCGAACGCAATATCTTACTCACCAAAGCTAAATTTCAAAACTACAACATTTTACCACGTCTTCTTCTTCCTCATTCAAACCAAGAGCTCTATACCATCTTACTTACCGAAGCTAAATTACGAAGGTCAAGCATTTTACCACCACGTCTTCTTCTTCTTCCCCATTCGAACCAAGACTGCTTATATGTCCGGCACAACGCCTGTGTACTTGATTCATTCTGGTTTGGCCACCCGTGCATTTACTTTGTTACACTTTTTTCCTTAATTGGTTGCCATAAGGACCTCTCTAAATGAATATTTGAATGTTGCTTAGTTCGGTTCCAATGAAAATTAAGTGTTTAATGTTGATTAAGATATGAATGTTGTTGCCGTGGGTTATTGAACATTTGTAGGTATGAATAGCCAACGAAGTGTCGGGAATGAATGTCCGAATAGTTTGCAATATGATACTAAGTACTACTATTGCAAACGAAAATGCATCCTCTGAATTTCAACAACTCGAAATAACCCACAAAAGTTATTTTATAGATGTCGATTAAAATCCGAGGTAATATTTTTAGTGGGATGATATTATTTGTTAGCATCAATGTAAGGCATGTATATTGCTAATGACATGTATTGCACTTGCAGGAGCAGGTGTTTGATAACCCAACAACTAAAAGTGATTCTATTGGTGGTTGCAAGTTTTTTGAGTAGGCAATAACTCGAAGTTGGTCGGATGAGGTTACATCGGGAAATCGTCATGGTGATGTTCTAGAATACCTTGAAAAAGTGGAGAGAGCAGACGATGATGAAATTAGTCCATGAGTTACCCACTGAAGGGATGGCTACAATTAAGCAACTTGTTTTTGTTCTTTTTGTTATTATTCTCCTTACATTGGTGTTATGGAAATAGTTCATCATTGATGGTGAATACGTAGGTTTAGTGTTTTTAATATTGCGTTAAAAGACTCCCCCTTTTGTTTCCATGTTGATGAACTATTTTTGTATCTTATTGTAATTATTTCAACTTTTTAAATATCAATATATAAACGTAAATTGTTTAGAAGATTTTTTTTTCTTGACTAAGAAGTATATCTTAATTCATCAAAGATACCTTCCGACAAGAGGCTGAAAAGCTCAGGCTCACCAGGAAGTCCACTAGATTAGCCTTTGGATGATTCTGCCAATTCCCAGAAGCTGTCCGGGGGGGTGTGAGGATCGATGGGTGGCAGAACCACCTCCATGGTGTGGGAAAAGATCCCTTGGACAAACCTAGATGAGGCAGAGATGCCCCAGGCCAACAGGGAAGGCCGACGGTGGGAAACAATGCTTTAGTAGAACCACCGGTTCCCACCACCAGCTTGGGCCATCAAGCCAATGGGTGTTCGGAAGGTGTCAAGATGCTTATTGGTTGAGTGGTAGTAGGAGGGAGTGGGTCTGGTGGCCATCGCACCCCTCCTCACCCATCGGATCGACCTCTGGGCGATTCAGCCAATTCCTAGAAAAGGTCCTAGAGGGAGGGTGCGGGGGACCCACCTCCTTAGTGTGGGGAGATGTCCCCTACAAGCACCCAAATGAGGAGGAGATGCTCAGGGCCAACGAGAAGGCCGGCGGTGGGAAACGATGCTTTTACAGAACCACCGTTTCCCACCATCAGGTTGATGGGCGATTGGAAGGTTTCGGGATGCTCGTTAGGTTAGTGGCAGTAGGAAGTAGTGGATTTGGTGGCCATCGCACCCCTCCGCACCCACCGAATCGGCCTCTGGGCGATTCTAGCAATTCCTAGAAGCGGTCCCGGAGGGGTGGCACGTGCGTAGTCGGGCGACAAAACCACATGCACAGGGTGGGGAGAAGTCTCCCGGACATACCTAGATGAGGTGAAGATGACCTAGACCAACAGAAAAGGCCGAAGATGGAAAACAGTGCTTTTGTAGAACCACAGTTTCCCACTGTCGGCTCGGGCCATCGGACCGATGGGCGATTGGAAGGTTTCGGGATGCTTGTTGGGTTAGTGGCAATAGGGGGAGTGGGTTTGGGGGCCATCGCACCCCTCTACACCTACGGGATCTACCTCCAAGCGATTTTGGCAATCCCTAAAAGTAGTCCCGAAGGGGGGCACGGGGGTAGTCGGGCAGCGGAACCACATGCACAGGGAGGGGAGAGGTCCCCTGGACAGACCTAGATGAGGCAGAGATGCCCCGGGCCAACGGGGAAGGCCGATGATGGTAAAACAATGCTTTTGCAAAACCACCGTTTCCCACCGTCAGCCCGGGCCATTGGGCCAATGGGCGATTAGAAGGTTTCGGGATGCTCGTTGGGTTAGTGGCAGTAAAAAGAGTGGGCTTGGTGGCCGTCGTACCCCTCCGCACCCACCAAATTGCCCCCAGGCGATTTTGGCAATTCCCATAAGCGGTTCTAGAGGGCGGGTGCGGGGGTAGTCAGACGGTGGAACCACATGCATAGGGAGGGGAGAGGTCCCCTGGACGTACCCAAATGAGGCAGATATGCCCCGAGCCAACAGGGAAGGCTGACAGTGGGAAACGGTGCTTTTGTAAAACCTCTGTTTCCAACCGTTGGTCCGAGCCATCGAGCCGGTGAGCAACCACAAGATTTTTGTATGCTCGTTGGGTTAGTGGCAGTAGGGTGAGTGGGTTTGGTGGCTATTGCACCCCTCCACACCCATTGGATCGGCCTCCAGGTGATTCTAGCAATTCCCAAAAGTGGTCCCGGAGGGGGGCACGGGGGTAGTCGGGCAGCGGAACCACCTTCTCGGGGTGGGGAGAGGTCTCTTACAAGTACCCAGATGAGGAGGAGGTGCCCCAGGCCAATGGCGAAGGCCGGCGGTGGGAAGCAATGCAAAGTCAGCCCGGGCCATCACGCCAACAGGCAATCGGAAGGTTTCGGGGTGCTCATTGGTTTAGTGGCAATAAAAGGAGAGGGTTTGGTGGCCATTGCACCCCTCCGCATCCACCGGATTGGCCCCTAGGCGATTCTGGCAATTCCCATAATTTGGAGAGGGGGCGCGGGGGTAGTCAGACGACGGAACCACATGCACAGGGAGGGGAGAGGGCCCCTGGATGTACCCAGATGAGGCAGAGATGCCCCGTGCCAATAGGGAAGGCTGACAGTGGGAAACGGTGCTTTTGTAGAACCACTATTTCCCACCGTTGGTCCGGACCATTGTGTCGGTGGGCGACCGAAAGATTTTTGTATGCTCGTTGGGTTAGTGGTAGTAAGGGGAGTTAGTTTGGTGGCCATTACACCCCTCCGCATCTGCTAGATCGACCTCTGAGTGATTCTGGCAATTCCCAGAAGTGGTCCCAGAGGGGGAGGTGAGGGGGTAGTCAGGCATTGGAACCACCTTCTCAGGGTGGGCAGAGGTCT